ACGGGATGTTGGTGTCCGAGTGGATCGAAGTCACGATATTTCAAGTGGTAGAGCAGCGGCGTATTTAGCCGAAGGTCGTGGGTTCGAATCCCGCTCGTGACACTAGCTTTTTCATTTCAACCAATACCTTACATAAAGATTAATTAATTGAAAGAAGTTATTTGGTCAATGGGACTACGAAATATAATGGATTAATTTTTTTGATAATTGAAGAAATTGCTTTTTTAAATTAGGTTATTTACTATATTTTTGAGTATCTGGCCATTTCAATTATTTAAAACTAAATATTTTATCAAATTGGCCAATGATTTATTGGACGATGAATGATTTCAATAATTAATTTTAAATTAAGTTTGTAAGTTTGACATTGGACTGTTCTGTAAAAAAATAGTATGCCAGTTGTACCTTTAAATATCCTTCTTGATCTGATTTATTAATGTAGGTATAATAAATTGATCTAGCAATTTACTAAATTGACGCTAGTTTTTTTTTTATTTGATTGAAGGCTGAATCTAGTATGAAATGAAGTCAAATTTCATCTTCTCTCCCAGAATTAAAGGCCGAAGTAGACGATATCATTGGAATATGTCAAATTTAGCGTTTTTTGTTTAAAAAAAGTTTTAATATTTGACTGAAACCATTTGACCAGATCAGATCTTCACATGACTTGTTATGGTTGACGTACCTATTTTCAGTCCCCTTGGGGTTTTTCATTTGTTCCTTTAAAGGCAAATAAATAAGACTATAGAAGATATATTAGTTTATTTTACACTTCAAGAATATCTTCATACGATCGATTAAAATTCAACGCAAAAGGGGTCTTTCATCTCCCGATTAAAATTTAGTATCGTTTGGCTTAAAAATCGAAGTGTCTTACGTCGTTGGGTTATTCATTAGTCTTTAAGTAAGGTATTGGTTGAGATAAAAAGTCAGTGTCACGAGCGGGATTCGAACACACGACCCTCGGCTAAATACGCCGCTGCTCTACGACTTGAGCTATCGTGACTTCGACCCACTCGGACATCAACTTCCCATCTCAACCCCACTATTTTTAATTTTCCCCTCCTTTTTGCCATGTTTCAAATGTCATGTAATTTATTTGATTCTCGGCGACAAATGAAATGGCCACGCAGAGTTTTAGTGAAGTATACTTCATTGTGCTTATTAAATCCATTAGGTTTCGTGATCCGATTGATCAAATAAATTCTTTTCAATTAAGGTAGGGAAGTTGGTGTTCAAGTGGATTGAAGTCACGCTAGCTCAAGTGGTTAGAGCAGCGGCGTATTGCGCCGAAGGTCATGGGTTCGAATCCCGCTCGTGACACTGACTTTTTTATCTCAACCAATCCCTTACTTAAAGATTAATTAATTGAAAAGAATGGTCAACCGGACCACGAAACCTAATGGAGTTATTCGTTAGGTTATAGAGCTTAACTCTCCTATGAGAAAGTCATAACGCTCCTGTAAACCATTTTTTAACCCTTAATCCCCCTCGAGTAAATAATTTATACATAAAGGGAAGAACATTGTTTAGACGTGTTACCGTTATTCATATTTCAACAGCATGAAAAATGTACAAATGTCAAACGTAGAAATAAAGGGATGAATGCGGGCGGATAAATTTCGGGTTTGTCTATTTGTAAAATATCCGCAGGGATCACAATTCGTTTTGTAAGATGGGATCCGGCGTGTGCAAAGAAAAAAAAATAGAAAACGCGATGATCAAATATGATGATAGAAGAAAACGGCCAAACTGTCCGTCTCGACTGTTTCGTTTTGAATATTTGATCGGCACGTTCGCCGAACGGGGTCATCATCGATTCGTCCCGTTCGCGGCGAGCCCTGTCCTTTTGTTTACAATGTTTGAGGAAGGAGTAGCTGTTTGTTTAAAATGGCCCACCTCGAAGCCTCCTTCTTGCCTAATGATGAACTTCCTTGGATCCCTTTATTGAATTATTTCCTCCCCCAACTTGACCTGGGGAAGTTACAATAGACTTCCTAGTTCCCTCCTGATCGTTCTATTCAATGTTAAAAGGATTCTAAAAATAAAGCCCTCTCCTTGAACTTGGGTGTTTATATTTGCATCAGATAATATATCACCGGGACGAGGCTAAATTTAAACGTGCTCAAACATCCAATGGTTGTCGGTGTCAAAGGATGGTAAAAAATTTTCGCAGGGTACAACGAGAAACCGAATCCACCACAAGGTACGAGTAAAAATAAAAGTGTGAGACTGACTTCCATAACGATATTATTAAATCTAAACGTATCATATTTACACACATTAAAAAATCTGTATGATCATAAAAGTAGAATTTCTCTGATGAGGTTCGCTATCTGGAGTATTAAATTTCTCCATTCATAATCATTAATGATTAAAAGTTCAAACATTATTTTTAGTATTTTTATGTAAGGTTTTGGTTGACATAAAAAAGTTAGTGTACGTCCTTGCATAAAAAGATTAATTAATTGAAAGAAGTAATTTGGTCATTCGGACCACTAAATATAATGGCTTATTTGTTACCATATTTACAATTGTAACACATCTAAATTTTCTTTTGTTGACATTGCAAAGATGAGCCCCTTGATAAATGAAATGCCTAATTGTTGATATTATTATTATTTTTGTTAATAGTACAAAAACGTTTCGCACTTAGATATTACCTCCATTTCACTGATAAACATAAAATCTGGAATTTTTTGGAAAACGTATCAATAATCAAAACGTTTCTTAAAAAAACAAAACAAATATTGTTCAAGTAAACTATGTCATATTTTTCCACGAAATTAATATTAAATTTCATTTTAGCACCTCTAGAGACCATAAATAGGAATTTTTGTTTAAATTTAAATTGATCGAACCCATTGATAAATGAAATTCCAAATTGTTGATATTATTAAAAAAATAGTACAAAAACATTTCACACTCGGATATTACCTCCATTTCACTGATAAACATAAAATCTGGACATACAACTTAACTCACTCCTCCTATCCTTAACCTGACCGTAACCTAACACCAAACTAATTATTTTAATCATTTCTAACCAATCCTAACTAAAATTTATCAATAACCAAAACGTTTCTTAAAAAAAAAAAAATACTGTTCAAGTAAACTATGTCATATTTTTTTCATTTTAGCATCTCTAGAGACACCTAAATATACATTTTGTTTAAATTTAAATTGATCGATTTTTTGACATCTGAAATTTTTCCGATTTTTGAGAAGTCGTTATGAGAATATCTGTTTGAAAAATGATTTTAACGTGAAACAACCGTTTGAAAGAAGAGGAACGTAGCTTTTTAACATCGTATGAACCATTTAAATATATAAAGTATTTTTATAAGAAAATACACAAAATTGCTTAATTATTTATCAGAAATTAACCTCGTTTTTTGTATGGAAATAATAGCCCGATCGTAATGTTTGATAAAAAAAATTTTTAAATGAATTATCAACCATGAAAATCGGCCCACTAGCTTATGAGAAAATTATGCCAGATCTTCCACTGGCTGGTCGTCGAACTTATAAGTTAAAAAATTAATTTGTAACAAAAGTCTGTATCTAAGTGTTTTATAACGATAGAATCACAACAATGAGGTCAAATTTGAGGTTTTGACCATTTTCTGTCCTAATTTGTTTACCGAATGTTCGTTAAAACCTGCAAAAAAGCAGGATTTTGTTCATTTATATGTTTAAATCATACCAAATTGAAATGTTCTACGTCGTGGAACATTTTTTTGTTAATTAATAGTGAAATTAATACACCAAAAATTACATTTTTTCAAATATCTATATAACGATTTATGCTCATTTAATTGCGACGAAATTAGATTCTGAAAACTGCTTCATTAACCCGATTAAGTCGATTTATTAACAATTCTCTTAAATTTGTTTACAATTAATACGTTGTTATTTGAAAAGTGTAGTCTTTGTTAATAAGTAATTAAATAACTAAATAATAAGTAATTCAATAAACATATCCACTTTACCACACAGGTGAATGGACAGTGCTATATTTGTCCAGAAAAAATCGTATTTTTTTTTTTACGAGGGTTTGCAACAGCAGAGGTCATGTCCTCAGGGTGCCGGTGTTTTTGAAACAAAGCCCATTTGTCAGAATGTCGGATTCGAAAGCAGGGCCGCTGAGATTCGAACCCAGGACCACCTTACAGTGATGAGCGCCGTGTCAACGCCTAAACCGTTGCGGCCACCGACTTCCCCTATAAAATCGGTATCGTAAGAAAAATCGAAAAATGAGGAAGTAATTGAAGCGGATTGTTGTTTTGAGAAAACCACAGTAAACCTTTGCTGAAGTGAGTGCTGAAGCTCAAACACATCCAGGTGGCAGTGTGAAGTAATCACATTAGGTTAATTTTTTTTTTAATTCTCCCCCCTAATTAAATAAAAGTTGGTTTCTCTCCCTACTGCCTCCTGGTCTGACAGGTATGTATAACTATTTGCTCAATGTATATTATGTACAGACAGCAATAAATAAAATTAACATCTTAAAAAAAATTGTTTTTAAATACTGCAAATATGACGGAAATAATGCATTTCCTCATTAATCGTTATCGTTATTAGGTACTGATAGAGAAAAGCTATAAATAAACACAAAATTATCACGATTTGTTAACATTCAGATGTCTATTAGTGTAATAAAATATGAAAAGAATCATCTTTTGACAAATTAATTGAATAAAATTAGTTTATCTTGGATTTTATTCGTTATTGAAATTTCAATTTTAGTAATTCGATGTACAAAATTTATTCTTATTTTATAAATTACTTGGAACAACAAAGTGTATTAGGTGTAAAATGTTTTGGAACGTTGTTTTGGCTTTATGATTTAAGCTCGAGGGTATAAGAATGATATTTAAATTCGTTTGTGTAATGTTATTGCGATATCTTTATAAAAGGGTTTTATATTCTGCGTAATCTCCCCCTATCTAGCATAAATACTCAAGACAAATTGATAAGGCAGTCTGTCACTGGTATACCACCGTCGAGACCAGATGTGTTTACCTCTTGCATTTTCGGATCAATCCTGCATCTAGACGACCGGTAAAGTAGTCGATCGGTGTTGAGTTTTTATTGTGATTCGGTGACAGTGCGTCGTTCAGACATGGAGCCCGAAGAGGGAAATTCGTCCGAGGGTATGAGTACGGTGAAAAGAAAGAAATCCGTGTTTCTCGGCCGTTACGGAAGTGAGTCGTTTGGTGCGAATCAAGCGACGTCGCAGATCGCGCGTTCCCTGTCTGACATCAACGACCTGTTGCATTCTCTAATGTCCAAAACCGATTCGATGTGTCATGAGATAATAATAATCCGAGAAGAGACTTCTCACCTGAAAGAGCAATTCGAAGAGATGAAAAATAAGATCGTGTACAGGGAAGAACTCCTTCAAAAGATTGTCAAGACCGTTGGATCAGAAAAATTAGAAAAATTGGAAAATGACGAAAAAAATAAACCTATAGATAGAGAAGGTGACAATAAACCGGATGTCGATTCCTCCGAGGATAAAAAAGAACCGGTCCTACTTGAAGACGCAAAAATCAAAATTTTCCTACACCCCGCCAACCCCGTCCGTTCAAGCGATAACGAAGATGGTGTACAGTCGGAGAAATCCTTCGACGATCAATCTGACTCGTCATACCGATCCAGATCCCCGGATATGTACGAAGAGGATCTTCTGCAGTTAGAAAAAGAGAGTAAGTTGAGTTGGAAACAGCTGGGACCGGGCGGACCCCTCCTTCTATCGTTCGATAAAAGAAATAGCGAGTCGGAAGACACCTGGTCAGACCGCAGCTCAGATATAACTCGACTGTCGGAAATTTTCGACAACACGTGCTTACATGTTGAGGACAATGAGAAAATAAAATGTGACATTCAATACAATACAAAAATTAGCACTACCAGCCCACTCTGTGATATAAAAGAACAACACTTAACTTGGGAAGGGAAAATCGATAAGGAGGCCAACTTATCCCAAGATAAACCTTATCTTAAAACCTTAACCGGTAAGATTAAGGATGTTGGGTCTGAAAGGGACTGCAAATATCCCATTCCGAGAATGCTGGTTAAAAGGGTCGAAGATATCGTTGAGAAGAGGCAAACCGAAACTAAACAAGATTTGACTAAGGAGTTAAAAAATCAAAAACGCATTAAGCTACCAAGAACTCACAGTCTTATCCAGAGATCGTCGACCGATCTGTCAAATCACGGTGTTTCATATCAAAAATTAGATTCGAGTAAAATTCTCGCGAACCGTCTCGGGATCAGCACGGAATTCGAGAAGGTGAAAAAGCTGTCTGACTCCTGTCTGGCCGATTCTTCGATTTACAATAAACACCTGTCCGATGTAAGTAAATACGACGAGAGGCGACAGTCGGAGCCGAATCTGTCTCAAGCTGTCCTCAGAAAGCCACCGGGGAGACGGGGTAGACTTCAAGAACAACGCCTTTCCGTTAACCTTTCTCATGGTTTTGATGTACGAAATACAAAAGTGGATAAATCACAACTTCTAGCCAAAAAATTAGGCATTGAAAGGGAGTTCGAACACGTACAGAGAACATTATCACAATGCAATTTGACCGATGGCAAACTTTACAACAAGCGTTTGTCCCATCTGACGAAAGACGGTTTCACAAGGCAATCCGCGCCCGATTTGACGGAATCTCTGAAAGTCGAGGGCTGGAATCAAATGAGTCAATCGATGAATCTGACAATGAAATCTAACTATTTGATCAAAGGTAAAAATTCGTCAGAGTCTGATTTAATTGGAAATGAAGTTAACAAAAGCGAAGAAAAAAGAAAATCAACAAATCTGTCCATGCACGGTGTAACCGGCTATATACCTGAAAAAGAAGATCGCTTCACGAGTCTTGCATTTAAACTTGGCCTCGGGCAAGAATTCACCAAGGTGCAGAGACAACTCTCCGAACCAAATTTGACGGAGATAAAAAATTACAGAAGGACCTGTTCGACGCAAAAGCAGCTCACGGTGCCGGAGAAAAGCCGACGGCCCTTGTCCGCCGATTTGTCAAATTACGAGCCGAAACGATACGAAGCCATTGTCAAAAACGAAGAAGAAAACCGTGCCGTTGAGGAAAAGCAGTCCGCACCGGCCGAGCACAACAGCACAGAGCCTGAACAAGGCAAAGAGAATTTAAAACGGAAAAGAAAAATATCGAAAAACATAGCTGCCCAAATCGCCAATTTTATCAAAGGATATGAAAAGAGCAAAAAATCGGAAAAGCTCCAGAGGAGTAGTGTTTCGTCCATGCCAGGCAGCATGCGTCGAAAGCAGCAGACCTCATCATCTGACGAAACACTGAAAAAAGCAGCAGACCAGCTCGGGATCGACTTACAACTTGACAAAATGAAACGAATTCCTTTGAGGAAAGGTGCAGTACTATAATAACTTAAATATACTCGTGACCATAGGGTTATTCCTTTTTAACTTGATGTTCGTAGCATTACAAATTTATTTATTCCTTTCCAATTAATTATTCTGTAAGTAAGGTTTTAGTTGAGATAAAAAAGTCAGTGTCACGAGCTGGATTCGAACCCACGACCTTCGGCTAAATACGTCGCTGCTCTACCACTTGAGCTATTGTGACCTCAAGTGGTAGAGCTGCGGCGTATTTAGCCGAAGAAGTGGTTTCGAATCCCGCTCGTGACACTGACTTTTTTAACTCAACCAAAACCTTACTTAAAAATTAATTAATTGAAAAGAATTTATTTGGCCAATCGGACCATGAAACCTAATAGATTTATTTATTCCCTTAAATTTTAAGCTTTTTAAGCTCAGAGTTTGACTGGTTTAATTGGTAAGGTTGATGAACTTTTAAAACTATTCTCAACTGAACAACAAAATATATAAAATTCTTTGTTACAAACAAAATATTGTGAATTACTTTTACGAAAATAATTATTGATGTATTTTAACCAGTTTAGATTTTGTGTTTATCAACATAAATGACAAATCTTGTTCTTATTGTTGCCTCAGACATTAGCAACATAGAGCAATATTTTTAATCCTTCACTTATCCCTGAGCCTTAAATGGTTGCAATCTTATCTAAATTAAAATACACACAGCTTACACTGTTGTTTGTGGGACATATTGACAAGTTTACATCTGAAGGAAGAAGCTGGGGATTTAATTTTGAAGGGTTATTTAGTATAACCAAAAGTTGAAAAATTGACTATTCGAACTCTAGGTGTTAATAGTGGTGTTTTGCAAAAAAGGCAGGATTTTTTTGACAGTGACATATTTAAAAATACAGGCGATTTAGTTAAGACAAACCTATTTGTCCTTTTTTATCTGCAGACATATTTTTTTGTATTTTCAGCAGCTATATTGCTTGTTTTCTACTTTCGTTTTCTAACTTCGTCTTTGTTCTTTTATTTATCGATTAGATTTTACCGGTGATTTCTTTACTGACATAAATAATTAGAAAACATTTAACACCAAAGTATCTAAGAAAAGGATACCCCCTAAAATGTGCATAAACTATTTTTCAAGAACTTTCAGCGTAGCAAGTGGTTTTTCCATTAATTTTGTCCTCTGTAGCTGAAATTATTGTTTAACGGTGGTCGTTTAATGGTTCATTTTAACCGGAATTGCAGCCTTATAGATTTTTTTATTGATCATCAAAAGAGAATGTGAGAATTGCTTCTGTTTTTAAGCGCTCCTTTGTCAAAATCACATAATTTACAAGGATTCTAAGCCTAAAATTTATTTTTATAAATTTTCATAGTAAAAAGTAAATTATTTACATTTCCTTTTCCAATTATATCATAATTATAATAAAATATATAATTGGATTCTATTGATGGTAGATCAGATTTATATTAACAGGGTGTTTTAATCGAGTTTTTAAAGTTTTTACCTTGGCTTCACTAACAGATCTTTATAAAACAAACAAAACCGCAAATTATTCTAAAAAGTTCATTTTTCATTGCCTTTTACAACCGTAGGTCCTGAGCTTGTTCTCTTAAAAAGGGGCATTTACGAAGACTCTTACATAGATTTTACATGAATTTGCACCCTAAAAAATTAAGTTTTACCTGTGGTTTTGCAACACCGTTTCATGCCACATTAACGATGGTAATATTTCACGGGCATATATTTTCAGGAAGACGATATTTTAGCACTAATTTTCAGATTGCTAACTTCGTTATAAATTTTAAAAGGTTTGACATACAATTTAACAGATGGCCTATATCTAGGTCTTGGAGTTAAAATGATTTGGATGTTTTGCAAGAATGCACCGGAAAAAAACTCAAAAGGCTATAACTTTTTATTAGCTTATAAAAATATAATAATTGCAGTATTATTTTCATTAATATTGTATATTAAAGTTCAATAAACCTCCTTATTGATAACCCAGACGTGTTGTCTAAGGACGATGAGAAAAAATCTGTGCCTAACAAGAGTTGCTGTAGGAACGAGATTTTAACCTAGAAAATAATTTTTTAAAGAACTTTCAGACTGTTAACTGTTTAAAACGATTTAATGTTGATTTCAACAGATTATTTATAAGTTTTTAGTTAAAAGGTTTATGGCGGCTAAAAAGGGTTGTGAGATCTAGACGGCATGTCGATCTAGATGGCACAGGTGAAAAAAAGTCGGAAGGATGTAATTTGTTAGTAAGATTATAATAATTGCAGTAATGTTCTTATTAACTGTTAGTTAATTAACTTTTCTATTATATAATTATAATAATATTATAATATTATAATATTATTATAATAAAATAATATTATAATTTCAGGAATAACATTCGATTGCAAAACACTTCACCGTTGCCTTCTAGATCTAGATTTGATTAAAAACACTCAGAAGGTTTTATATGTGAGGTTATAATATTATAATAATTGTATTAATTATATTAATTAAATTGTAATCTATATTAAATGTAATAAACAATCTTAAGTTTATTTTAATTTAGTATCTATCTTACGAGTATGCTCTCCTAGAACTATTTACTTTCATAAAATTAGATAGTGCAGGATGATTGAAATAAATTTACTATTTGTGATTTTTCCTTCTGGAAGGTGGGATAATAGGTCATCTCAAAAAAACAATAACCGGCTTTTTTCAATCCATAACGTTTCGGATTTATTTTAAGTCTTCCTCAGGTGAGTTAACGCCTATACTCAGAACAAAGATTTCTTACATTTTTAGACCATTTTAGACCAACATGGTTATCATTTTTTTCCCTTTGCTACTTCCAGTGGTTAAAACATGGTCGTCAGTCAAAACAGTTTATTTTAATAAAATCCAGTGTGATATACATTTAAGTCCTTCAGACTACGAAGAAACGTTTGAAGTCCATAAGAAATTTTTGTTCTGTGTATAGGCGTTAACTCACCTGAGGAAGGATTAAAATAAATCCGAATTCCACCTTCGAGAAGGAAAATTCAGAAGTTAAACTGTTGAGGTCGAAATAAAAAAACATCCAAATTTACTATTATATACTCACGATAATGGACAATAAATTATAGGCAGAACGAAAACAGTGATTATGCCATGCTTTCCCTATTGGCCAGTCCAATATAACGCAACAACAATAGGAATCGATAGCTGTTGTATGCCTAGGTTTTAGATTTGTTTAGGATCGAGGTTATTCACTATTAGGCAGGATCAGTTTAACACCGAATCAATTATTCTACTTAATCGTTAGACCATGAACTATTTTATTTTGCACAGTCTAAAAGCAAAAAAAAAGATAGTGATTGAAGTGACAATCAAAATTGTCAATAGGTAAACAAATAACTACGAAATTTCACTGTACTTATTTTTCACCGTTTGTCTTTTTTCCCGTTTATATCCTGGAGTTGTGTGCCCTGGATTTGACTGGGAACAGTCCCAGAGGAACTAACTTGCCTCTGTTACGCCGCCTTTTGTCCCACTTCCTTTGCCAAGCGTCCGCGTTTGTGTCAAGGGCCTAGGCCCCCTTTTGTTTCCTCAAAAATCTTACTTATTACATTTTCCCCTTTCTTTTCAAATGTAAATAAAACAAATGTATTAAATTACAAATGTATATTTTTTATTTTATTTAAAAGAAGCCTTCTCAAAGCTTAAAGCTACTGCTGGGATACTTAGTTAAACAAAGAACTCCCGACTTGTTTATTAATATATGAGGTCGATCCAATACTAAGGTCGTATCGATCAGTGGAAATGGCCGGAATGCCTTCGCATTCATACAACGTCTTTTCTATAATAACACAATAACAACGTAGTTCGACAATGAATCGATAAACAATCAGAAACTAAATTAAAAAATATATCAAATTTGCAAATATATTAGTGATAGATTCATAGAAAAGAATATATAAATGTATTCTTACAATACACTGCAACACTCGGAAAATAAAAACAAACATATTAAGGGGCTAGACGGGTAACAGGAAAAAATAAAAATAAATAAATAAACACATTGTGAAGTTCATAAGTTCATGCTTTCTATAAATCGAGCAAACCTCTAAGTACAACAATTACATTAAGTGATTAAACCAAATAGTAAGGAATAATATGGATACTATGTATATTCTATAGGAGAAAAAATATTTCGTAAAAGGAAAAAATGGGAAAATAAAATATAATAGGAAAATAGAATAGAAAAAATAGAAAAAAGGAAGAAATAGATAAAGATACTGGAGAGAGTGATAAGGAAAAAATAAGGATAGAGAAAATGGTAAAAAGGAGAAAAAGAAGCGATAAAAAAAGGTTGCGAGTTCGGTCACACGCAATTCTTTAGCCAGAAGAGAAAGAGAGAGAGAGAGAGAGAGAGAGAGAGAGAGAGAGAGAGAGAGAGAGAGAGAGAGAGAGAGAGAGAGAGAGAGAGAGAGAGGTATAAAGGTAGAGAGAGTGTGAGTTAGAAAGTGGTAGAGCGAAAAAGATTGATAGAGATAAAAATAAGAAAGTGTGAGCGTAAAAAGATAGAGTGAGAAACAGAGATAGAAAGAGTGAGAGAGAGAAAGAAAATATAGAAAGGAATGTTAAGGAAAAAGAGAGTGATAGAGAGGGAGAGAGAAAGTGAGCTAGAAAGTGGTAGAGAGAAAAAGATTGATAAAGAGAGAAATACGAGAGAGTGAGAGCGCGTAAAAGATAGAGAGAGTGAGAAACAGAGATAGGAAGAGTGAGAGAGAGAAAATATAGAAAGGAATGATAAGGAAAAAGAGTGAGCAAAAGAGAGAAGAGAGAGAGAGATAGAAAGTTAGCTAGAAAGTAGTAGAGAGAAAAAGATTGATAGAGAGAGAAATAAGAGAGAATGAGAGCGCGTAAAAGATAGAGAGAGTGAAAAATAATGGTAGAAAGAGTGAGAGAGAGAGAAAATAAAAAAGAGGAATTATAAGGAAAAAGAGTGAGAGAGAGAAAGAAAAAGGGAAGAGAGA